CGTGTTTATTTTGAGCGAGTGTAGTCATGAAAGAGAAGACGAAGAGGAAAATGTTGGAAGGGCGAGCGTATCTGAAGCAAGCAGGATGTAAACACGCGGGGTGGGCTGACAGGGCAGCCGCAGGCAGAGCCAGATGGAGCCTGACCCCCCGGCCTCGCCTCCCTGCCCCGCCGAAGCACTGACGCACGCCCGGACACCGGCTGTCCCCAGCCCGGACACCGGACCCAGCCATCGCCAGCGCTCGGGGTCGCAGCCACCCCTTGCTCTGTGTGTGTGTGGGAGGCAGGAGAAGGCGTCCAGTTCCCCCAGCAGCATTTTTGTGGTCGCTCTTTGGCCCGTGTGTCTGATGGGGATGCTGTCCAGGCAGGAGCTGGCCTGGGCTTTTGGAGAACTGACTCCTGTGATCTCAGCGAGGTGTAGATAACGTGCGTCTAGACAGTGACAGATTTTGGATTCCAACTCTGGCTGCCGTCCTGCTGCAGTGATACTTTGTATGTTGTGTTCTGCCTTAGTTTCCCCATTTGTAAAAGGGGGAGTGGCCTCTGGCAGAATGGTTGCGAAAATAAATTGGCATAAAACAGCACACACTTGCAAGTTTTTATCATAAGTCTTTCAAGTCCGGCCCATGATGTTCTCTGCTCTCCCATGGTTCACCCTCTGTGCATCTCTAATCTTGCCACGGGAACAAAGTATTAATCCATTTTCACCTCTTTGCTGGGGGGTGAGAATGTTTTATGGGGTGCAAAGTTTGTTAGCTGTTTCATTTTTGCCCTTTGCTTTCTTAGGCAGAGTGGAGCTTATGAAGGCAAAGCCAAGACCTGAATGGTATTTTGTGTGAGCAGAGGCAAGAGGCGTCCAAACGTGGGGAGCTACAGAGGCAGGTAACACAGCAGCCTTGTAACTTTGAAGACATTAGGGCAGAGAGTTTCTTGTTTCTTGTGCTGCTCAGTTCACTACCTTCATTTCAGCTGTGTTTGGTTTTAATCAGTGGAGTGATTAAATAATGATAGAGAGGCTGTTTTAACTTTGTAGAGGCTTATAATTATGGCCAGGAAAGGAAAAGTCACCTGTTAAAAATTATACGGGGCCAGAGTAAATGACTACCAAAGATAATGGGAGAAAATAGCGTCCCTTTCTCTGGAGATTGAAGGCAATTTTATTGGAAAGTTTGTGGAAGATTTTTTTTTTTTTAAATGATTCCTTACACTGTAGGGGTTATCTAAAATAGATGTCCTCCTTAACATGGGGTTAGTTGCTTATCTACCCTAGCTGTGTTTTTAATATTGTAGACGAATCTTTCAACAGTGAGATTACTTTTTAAATAACTTTTTTTTGTCCTTGAGACAATCTCTTGTTAAGTACAGTGTGACTTGTCAGCAATGAGCTTTATTGAAAGGCAGTGCCTTGTCATTCCTTGCCTGTTTAAATGAGGCTTTCAGGCTCCTGGGGACAAAGCACAGGTCAAGAAAGGAAGCTGTGTTCTTGTGAGTTTCTAGGAAAGAGATGCTTTTCTGATGGGTAGTTGCTATGTCATTGCTTTCTTTCCTTTGTGTTTTTCCTATGAACATAAATCAGCAGTAATGTTACAGAATGTTTTATCAGCTCGTTACAGAGGATAGACAGAAGCAGTCATAGTATAGTGAAGTTCAGTGTAGCTTGAGAACACTGTATAAAACTGTGAAATTTGTCCTGGAAATCTGAGGTATAATCTAATCCCAGCGAAGTTACTGAGGTCAAGATACAAACTGGAGGATTTAGCGTGTGGTGCATTCTAGCTTGATTTGCTTCTTGCGATCTGGGTTGTAAAATGTAGCGTACCTGTGAGCGGAGTCTGGACATGTGAACTGTGGTCTTGGGTTGAGATTGGAAGGCTTCAAATCTTGGTTCTGTTCCTGACCTGGTCATGGCACTGGCATGTGACCTTGGCCAAATTGTGTAATGGAGGCAGGTTTTCTGCCTTCCTGCTTAGATGGCAAACATCACAGGGTAGGGACTGTGCCATGTTATGTTTTGGCATAAGACTGTAGTGTTGCTTGGGACTCCTGCTAGTTACTGAGGTGTAAATAGAATAAGTGTCTGGATAAGCAAAAATGTTTGAGACTTGCATGCTGTTTGCTTCTCCCACCTATGATCTGTTTGTGGACATGGCTGTGAAATGAGCTGTGAAATGAACTGGTCAAAATAAGATACTGCACAGCATGACATTCAAGCAGCACAGAGCCTACTCACCTTGCCTTGGAAAATGACAGCTTTGAAGTTGTAAGATCCCAGCACCTTCTTAAAAATATGGATGGAATGGGTGAGAATTGGGAACAGGATTATCCTGTTTGCGGCACCCTTTGGACATGTGAAGGGAGAAAAGCTGGAGAGAACCTCTGAAGAGGTTCAGGTTACTTTATTTTCCTAGGCTTTCAGGCCAGGTCTCCTCCATGGCTTGAATGTTCTCTGCAGGCAGCTGGTGCCTTCTGCTGCAGCCTTTGCTCGTGCCAGCACAGCAGCATGGCCTGATGTGTTGCTGCACGCGGTGCTCACAGCGGGCCCTGGCTTTTGGCCGTTTCTGGGTAGCAAATTGAGAGGCTGATGTTCACTACAAAGCCAGAGATACATTAATTGCAAAACTATGGCAAGGGCTGGTGATTGGTCTGTGCCCTTGTTTTCCCCTCTGATGTGCTGTCTTCCCGCCAGCCTGTGCCCCACCCCTGCCTGCCTGACACTGGCTGAAATCTGCAGAGCATTTGCCAAAGGTCTTTAGAGAAGGTTCCCTAAACCTCTCTAGTTGTCCCCCAGCAGTCACTTGTGAGAGCTTGTGTTCTTGCTACATGAAATAACATGCATTCTGGAGGCAAGTATGGACATCCCTGGGTATATGGACATCCCTGTGTGTGTCTTTGGGAGCAGATTTCTTTTGTTTGAGTTAGTCTGCTCACCTGTCCACCACGAAACCCTGGACTATAGTGAAACTTCTAAAAATGGTGGGTTTTGCTGGTCTGCTCTTGAGCTTTTGATGTGCATGGCTTGCTCTCCCAGCAGCCTGTGCTCCTGTGGCACATAAGCCACAGTATCTCTGCCTCATGAGTGAGAAGACTGAGAGTTTCTCTCTGTACAGATGATGGATGGGGCTGCTTCTCATCTGTGGGTGCTTTGGACTGCCATTATCACATGCCAAGACCTTTCTTGGCTGCCATAGGGCTTGTCTGAAGTGTTCTGGTTTCTGGTGCTGTCCACATGCAAGAAGGGGTTGGTAAGTGTGTTAAACTTATGTGTATCACCATGGTGCATGCCTGTCCTTCACCAGGTGAGAAAGGTCCTTTACAGGATAGACCAGCTTTGATGCTCTGGTTTCAACCTCATCTCTCAGTTCTCATGGAACATGAGTGAAGGGATGAGACAGGAGATATTCTGGGCTGAGAAGGATAATGTTGGTACGGTTGTCCTCAAGGGGAATTTCCAGAGGTGGCATCCTCCAGCCTGTGTGTGAGTGGCCTGGGACCGCTTGAGAAGCTCTGAAGTTTTGTGCTTTGTTTTAGTTGCAGGTAGGAAGATGAGTCCAAAAATTACAACAGAGCTGCTGAAGCAACTGCGGCAGGTGATGAAGAGTCCCAAGTATGTCCAGGAGCCTGTCCAAGCCTACATAGTGCCCTCTGGAGATGCCCACCAGGTATGGATGGATGGTTTCTGGGAATGATTGCACTTTCCTTCCCTTCAGAAAAACAAAAGCCGGGGGTAACTAAAATCATCTTTCATTCACTCGCTTTAATGGTTCTAGCATAAAGCCTAGGTAACCTGAGAAATATCATGTTGGAAAACGTTTCTGGAATCTGTTCAGGAGACAGATTTTTTTTTTTTATGTCCTGGTAGCAAATCTGCATGGATGTTCCACCAGCAGTGTCTCATCAGATTGTCGCTAGAGAGCTCATGCTGCAAAAAAAAGGAGCTTGCCAGAGCACTTGCTGTCCCCATCCTAGCTGTTGGGACAAATGGATTTACTGGAGGAGAAAAAGGCATTATTTGAACTTTAGTGTCTCCATTAACACCTCCTAATCAACACATACTCGTAAGTGAGGTGGCGAGGGATTAGTTGCAGAGCTTTCGTTTTGCTAGATCCAGTTCTTGCTGGAATTTGCTGCATTATGCTAAAGCCCTTCAGATCCCAAACAGAGGCAGAGGGGCCTTTGGAGACGTAGAGAAGGAACAGGCCGCAACAACACATCTCTTTTGGTGCTGCTCTGCATCACCTTGTCCTGTGCACTAAAGGCAGGAGGGAAGTTTGGGCCCAGGGTGGTAACCCATGTTGGTGACTATGTTGTGTGCTGCTTCCACCATTAATATTTCTGTAGCCCGTGATGTGAATTTTAAATTGCTGAGCTGCCTTTTAGCTCCTCGGCTTGCTCCTATGCTAGTTTCACTCTTCTGTTTGCTCTGTTAGCAGACCCAAGAACTGCCAAGGGTTTTTCCCTCCTCAGCCGTTTTCAGGAAACAAAAGACCTGAAGGTTTCCTGGCTCACCTCCAAAGCTCCTTTTTACCCCAGGGTGCACAAGAGCAAAATGCAACTGAATCGGAACCTTTGCCCTTGACTTGGCACTGGGGTGAGCTGGGTCCAGACTTGCCTGTGCCCTGAGACCATATGTGCAGCATCGTGTTTCCTCTTAGGGAGAGCCAAAATTGGGCAGGTAGAGGGAGGGTGTTTTCTGCAGCTGCCTCCTGCCTCAAGCTGCCTCTGTCCATATATAACTCTGGTTTCATTTCACTAGACATTAAATGCTGTCATGTGAGTTGAAGAATGTGACCCTCAGGACTTCTGGGTTTTTCTATTGCTTTCTTTTCCTTGACAGAGCGCAGTTAAGCAGAGAACCCCATGTTGCTATTTCCTGCCGGGCGAGTTGGTCAGGTTTCTCTGCAGAGCAAATCTATCCGAATGGAAACGATTACTAAAAGCTGCTCATTCTGGCGCCTCCCGACTAGCTAGTGCAGAATTGTGTCTGTGAGGTTTGGGAATTGGTGCAATTTTAGGCATTGGCTAAAACCTGTTGATCTCAGAACAGGCTTAGTGATTCCAGGTAAATTGTGATGAGCTGAGATTTGTAGCTTCCCCGTGTTCCAGCAAGGGCTTGTTTCCTGTACGCAGATAAGAACTTTAGAGCCCTGCAGTCAGATTTTGCTCTTAGGCAGCTCCCTCCATGACTCAGAAGACTGCGATCTAATGATACCCAAGCTTTTGGTGGCTTGAGACATTTCCTCCCCACAGCCCAAGCTATTGTTGCTGTCCTTGCCTCTCAGCTGTTCCTGAGGCTGTCCTGGGATCCACATCAGAGAATTTGTCAACAAAGACGGCTTCCTCTCCTGTGATGCTGACACAGGGTTTAGAATGGGGGAAACTTTATTCCCTTCTAGGTTGCAGAGGAACCCCTGGATTGGACTGATGCCCCAGTGCTGTGACTTGCTGACTAATTTCTCTTGTAACACTGGGAATGTTTGAGCTCTGTGCTCTGTGACGCTTCTAATATTGGTTTTCCTGCCAAGGCCAGAAGGCTTAGGTTATAATACGTCCAGGAAGCTTGCCACCAGTTGTATCCTTTGCTTTCCATGTTTAGTTGTATAAGGAGCTGAAAGACTTGCAGAGTTCTCAAGCACAGCTGGCTCTGACACTGGCTTAACCAAGGCTACTAATAACTTGGATTTGTGGCACTTGCAGCCAACCCTGAATGCTGACTGCTTTGATTTTTGCATCTTTTGATGGTAGTGATAAGAAGTCAGAAGAAACAGACTGTTTCCTTGGGGACCTGGGTGATCCAAAGGTTGGTGAGAAAGGAGAGCAGGCCCAGCCAGAAGTGGGCTGAAGTCCATATGAAGAGCCCTGCTTCCTTTCACGAGTCCTTGGTAACTGTTGTGGCTGGAGGTGTCAAAGGATCATGAAGGGGTGAAGTGCCACACTTTTGGGAATGTCCTTTGTGGTTTGGTTAAAGAGGCATGTCTGAGCTTTTGGAGTGTTGCAGTGGTAAATGCAGGATCCGTTTTTATGTCGAGTCACCCAGTTTACATTTAATCTGGAGTTTGCCTGTATGGGAATATTTGGAGATTGGAGCAGGTTTCTTCTTAATGGGAGGGAATGATGAATGATGTTTGGATTAGAGCTTGGGTTTGGAGCCAGTCACAGCTTAACTGGGGCTGGCTTCCACCCTCAGGCCTTGACTCAGTGAAAACAAATTTGGTCAGATCTGGCTGGTCTTCCACATCAAGGAAGCACCTGCCCAGCTCAGGGCCCCGTGTTTGGCTTGGCAGGGATGATGTCTTCTGCTCAGGGCTGACTCCTCTGACATGCTCGTTCTGAGCTGAGGTATTAACGGAGTTATAAAGCAAGAGACGGCTTGTGCACAGGTTGCACTGACCTCACCTTACCTCACCAATGCAGTTAGGTTTTTCGCAGTGAGTACTCACCTCCCTCCAAGTACACAGCAGTGTTTGCTCTTTAATGGCATCAGTGTTGTAGCTCTAAGGGCAGAGAGCTGTGCTTTTCATTGCTGGTCTTGGTTGGCATTAGGATAGAATATTTTTTAGCGTGTTAGTGGCCCAACTATGCCAGTGATAAGCACCACTGATTTGTTTTTGGGTTTTTTTGGGGGGGAGGGCAGTTCTTCCTGGCTTAGCTAATAAGCATTTCTGTGATGCAGCACCCAGTTTCGTCTGCATTTCAAGGACTGTCAGATGTGGTAGGAAGCAGACGTGAAAGGCCTGAGGAGGGCCAGGTTGAAGGCCATCAGAACTGCAAGACAAGCCTCAGGGAAATACCTTGTTCCGATTGTGTTGTGGCCTGCACTTTGCGTGGCGTACGCAGGTGTTCCCCTTGTAATTTTAGCTCATGCAAAACATGGGCTTATCTTTGCACCGTGGGGGTTGCGGCATGGAACAGAACAGGTGGGCGTGCAAAAATTCAAACTGACAGATGAATGAACCATCTTCCCCTCGAGGTCCCTTGTACTCGCTTTTAAAGCTGATCTGCCTCATTGTAAACTCTTGAAACATTCCATGGATATGTCTGTGAATGGGACAGCATGAGATATTCCCCACACAGTCAAGGTCTTTGTTAGCTTAGGTCAGCTTTTTCCAGATCTAAAACTGATAGGCTTCCTTTTTTTCCTTTCAGAATTCGTTTTTAAATAGTTTTTAATCCATTTCAATGTTGCGTGCTTTTAATGCAGCTAGTTCACTGTTAACACTTCCTATGAATGGGACAGTGCTCGTCTGCACAGGCAACCCAGCCTGTAGTCTCTACTGTGTTGGTCAAGAGAAAGGGAGGAGAAATCACTGGTGTGATTTGAGATGAACTTAGTGATACGATCCACAACGGGAGATTTCCAGCATCCCCTTTAGGTGTCAGACTCTGGGTGATGGTGTCCGAGCGTGGAGCTGTGTAGCAGAGGGGCAGTTGTAGCGCTCAACAAGCTGAATAGTTATTGAATACTCTTTTGGGCCATAGGTTTTACTGTTCCAAGGCTTTGTTTCAAGATGTTAGTGATGAGTGGTTGGTAGCTGCTGCCCAGGGTGTTTCTCAGGAGAGGAGAGACAAAGCTGTTCTGGAGCAGATTTGATCGGGGGTGATCTGGAGCAGATTTGATCGGGGGTGATTTGGAGCAGAAGTAAAGAGTTGGACCCAGGTGTTGCAGTTTGTGCTTCTCACTCACTGCTGTGCTTTGAACCTTCTGCCTTTAGAGCAGTGAGGAGTAACAGATTTGTAGTGTTTTCTAACAATCAGGTGATTCAAAAATAGCCCTGGCCAGAGACAGGGAAATGCAGTGTATCATAGAGGGAACTAAAACCATCTGAGAATTGGGCTCTGATTTCTCAGTGCAGTCTCTAAAATGTGTGTGGGTTGTTTGGTTTGTTTTTTGTTCTTGGTTTTTTTTTTACCACAGCACAGCTGGGTGTGGAGAAACTTTATGGGCAGAAGAACAGGCTTTGGTTTCAGACCATTTGTAAGGTACAAATCCAGGGGTTTTGCAGCTCAAACATCAGTGCTGTCAGCCTGGATTAAGCTGATTTGCTGAGTTGTGTTAGTTAATTAACAGGCAGACTCAGCAGTTCCGACCTCCGAACTTGCCAGAATGGGATCCCATAAAAATGATGTGTGGGCCGTTTCAAGGTACAATTGTTTTCTTAAATTTGGCAGCTTCTGTGGATGTTGGGTATCTGTGCATTCTCAGGCTCTTCTGTGATGCTGCCAATGGGTGTGTCCTCAAACACAGGCTGTGATGAGTTTGGGATGAGGATGCACTAGTAGTCTTTGATTCCCTTTCACCCACCCATGGTCTAGTGGTTTCTGGTGTAGTTGGGTTTTGAGTAGGCAAGGAAGAAGTGAGAAGATCAGCATCTTAATTCTGAAAGGTCCTAAGGGTTAAAAGTTTTTACGGTTTTGCCACCTTGATGATTTTCTTCCAATGTCATTGTTGTGGAAAAGAAGGACTTACAGGAATTCTTATAAATGCTGGTGAGGAGACTTCACTGGAGATAGTGAATTTTACAGATTTTATGCACTGATTACTCTGTGTCCAAGGGGTGTTTCTGGTTTCTCTTCCTTTCACATTGCAGCTTCAAAGGCAGCGTTTGTTTGTTGCCCAAAGGGGAGGCTGAGTGTGAAATAAACATCTGCAAACTCTGAAACACATGAGTGTTTACAGACGTTTGTGGGAGAAAAGTGCTGCAGCCCAAAGAAAAAAAAAAACACAAACCAGTTGGACATAAATACAATATAATCACAGATGATTAAATATTCCAGTGGAGTAGACCCCAGGATTTCTTAACTCATTTCATTCTCTTTTCTCCTAGAGGACACCACAGAAAGCTTATCAAAGTATTTATCATCAGCTGATTTCCCCCCCCCCCCACTGCTATAAATAATTGCTGCCTCTTTTGTTTTCTAGAGTGAGTACATTGCACCCTGTGATTGCAGACGGGCGTTCATCTCTGGATTTGATGGCTCTGCAGGTACTTTTCCAGAACTTGAGTTCTTGCTAATGTGCATAATTCCCCTGTAAAGAAATAGTCTCATTCATGGCATAGAGGCAAGATGGAAAATGAAACCTATCCAGCTTGTTTGGACTGTTTTCTTCCCGTTTCAGCATCTGCAGAGTTATGTCTTGGCTACCCACTGGAATTATGTAATACCAATGCAATAACAAGTTTTCAGAAAATGTTTGACCTCTGAATGAACCTCTCGTAAAGTAAAATCCTGTTAACTCTTTAATGTGGTGCTTGTAATTCATGGTCGTTTCTTTTGATGTGCAGCCAGTATGAACAGATTTTTTATGTTGCCCGGTTGGGCTGGGTGAAAAGTGGATGGACTTTAGCTAGCCCTTCCGTTTAAACAGAGACAGGGCCAAACCCATTGCAGTTGGAAATTGTGGAAAAGTTTGCTTATCTTGCTGAGACAGGATGTTTTCTTGGCTGTACGATAGGTCTCTGTTTCAAGAGACCTAGTTTTTATCCTTGCTGTACCCTAAGCTCTACAATTTACTCTGCTGTGTGATTGTTGGAAAGTCATTTTAGTCTTCTTTTTCTCCTCCTTAATTGTAAATTGGTTTTGTAAATACTGCTGCCTATGTGACTGGGGAGTCTGTTCATCAGTTCTTTGAACTGCTCTGGGACCTCATGTTGAAGGGGATAAATCCAGGGCTGTGGGCTGCTGGTAATGGGTAACATGAATCTTGTATTAAGTTCACACCTTCTGCATGGCCTCTTTGTAACCTTCCTCTCTGTTTTGGGCTCTTGTAATGTACTTGGAAGGTCTGTGTTCCCAGCCTAGTGCTCAACAAGTCAGTGAGCCTTCACACAGGGCTTACCTTGTGTTTCTTGCTATACCTTTTCAGTCAGTCTGAATCAGCCTAAAATGAGGCTTGTGGTGGGGGAGTTTGGAAGAAGACAATAAATTCATATTTGGAAACTCTTGTCTGCTAATCTAGGCTTCAGTTTCTGATAACAGAAAGTATAGTCAAGATGCTGGGACTCAAAAGTCTTGGACTGAGTTTCTGTTTGTGCCATACCTTTAATTTTTTATTTCCAAGGGCACTTCAGCTAGAATGTCACTACCCCTTATCTGACTGCTTGCATCCCTCCGTCTGGACTCAGTAGAACTGGACAGACACTGAACCAGCAGAAGTTTATGTTCGTATTTCCTGTTCAGCCATGTCTATTAGAGCTGTAATAGTTGGGAAAGAGATGCATCTGACAGCTGGGAGTGATGCCCACGGCTGCTAGCCTAGTAACAGCTGTTTCTTGTGGGTGGCCAGAACGCAGTCTTCCTTCCTATAAGACGTGATGGAGTCTGGGGATGTACACTCCGTGTTATTGTGACAACAGCCAAGTGGAGACCGTGGTCTCTGTTACAGAAGGTTTGGAAAGTCCTGTTTACCTAGTTTCACTGACTGGCTGAGATACACTTGAATTCATCTGAGGCAATTCATTAAGCTGCATCTTCGTGCGTACTGTCCCTAGCGAGATTTGGAAGGTTGTAGTGCAGGGAAGATAGTGAATATTTCCACTGAAACTGAACTAACTTTTGAGCCGTGAGCAGAACTGCCTTTTTTGGGAATTGGGGTGCATTTCAAACCTTCCCTCTGCTGTCTGTATCTCTGCATGGCAGCTGCCCACCTCTGAATCACCATGTCTCTCTGCCTTCCTGCCTAGGTACTGCCATAGTCACTGAGCAGCATGCAGCCATGTGGACAGACGGACGCTATTTCCTGCAAGCTGCACATCAAATGGACAACAACTGGACGCTCATGAAAATGGGTACATGGGAGGCTGGGGTACTGCTCCACTGATAAATCATGGGCTCTTTTGGTCACTTTGCACATGTTAAGGTTTGGGCTGTATGGATGCCCCATCATGTGGAGGCTTAGGGATGTCTTGGATACACTGTTACTCCTCCAACTCTTCTTGCTCATGGGTCTGGACGTTCATTAGTGGATGTATCTGGTGTGTTAGCTTGCACTTTTTGGCTAGTGTGGGAAATGCTGCTCTTTGACTGCTTCTTTGAAACTTTTTTTTCCTTTTTTTTTTTTTTTTAAATCCCTGGAGGTCTGAAAGATACACCGACTCAGGAGGATTGGCTAGTGAGTGTCCTCCCAGAAGGCTCGAAAGTGGGAGTGGACCCTTTCATTATCCCAGCTGGTTGGTTTTACTTTATTTCATTACTCTGAGTTGGGTAATTAGATTTTGCTTCCTTGCTTCTCTGGCTAAGCTCTTCTATGATGGTATGTAGCTAGCCATATTTCAGCCTAGATGGAGTGGTGGATTTTAAACTGTTATGCAAAACAGGTTGAATTTTGGAAAGACGTGTTCTTGATTCAAATGGGCTAAGGATCAGTCTTGTGGCTGTGTAGAAGCCTCTTTCATCTCTCATCCAGCTTAGATCTAGCATGGTTCTGCACTGGAGTGGAGGACACCCTTAGAGTAGCCTTTGGGGTGGCTTCTTCAGTGACCTCTGTCTTTTGGCTGGAGCAGTTGTTCAGCTCAAGCATGAGGCTCCAGGGCTGCAACGTTCTGTGCCTGCTGCTGGCTGTAGTGGCTGCTTTCATGGAACTGGAACTGTAATAGCTTTTGCTTTGTTTTTTAAGGGAATGGGAAGAAGAAGAGGCTAGAAGGAAAGGAAGAGACTCAGATTTTTGAGTTTGCCCTCTGTGAACGGGTTATTGAAACAGGGTGTGTTCTTTAAAGACATCAGTCTTGACTCTTTTCCCTTTGGCAGACCAGTGGAAGAGGATGTCCAAAGCCTTGAGAAGTGCTGGCCACGACCTTGTGCCTGTCAAAGAAAACCTTATCGATACAATCTGGACAGACTGTCCTCAGCGCCCTTGCAAGCCTCTCATCACGCTTGACCTTAGTTACACAGGTGAGAAGCTTAACTTCCAAGAGGCAGGGACTATTTCTACTGCCCTATCCCCCTTTATTTTCCTCTTACAAAATAATGAGAAAAACACTGCTGCAGCACACTGATCCACTCTTGGTCAGGAAGGTGATCAGACCTCAGCCGCTGACCCCTTTGTCCTCAGACTTCAAATATCATTTTGCTAGAGGCTTGATAACTTCAAAAAAAACCTGTGAATGCCTGGAGGGGAGCTCCTTTGAGATAGGTCATACCGGTTATTAGAAAGGAGTGAGGAGCACAAGCACAGTGTGTTTTGGGTACCTCCAAAATGCAGTGTGTTGGTTTGTGTTTATATCATCCCCGGTAAAGCTGGTGACTGTAGCTTTTCATGCTGTGTTTCGCAGGGCTCAGCTGGAGAGACAAAATTGTAGCCCTCCGTTCAAAAATGGCTGAAAGGAAAGTCCTGTGGTTTGTGGTAACGGCCTTGGATGAAGTAGCGTGTAAGTCTTTGCATCTTCTTTCTCAGTTCTTTCTACACAATGTATGTCCTTTCTGCCTCTGAAAGGAAGAACCCAGCCGGAGTGAGAGGTGCTTATGAGAAACAACGTGTTTGTTAGAGGTGAATTAGCTTGTATGAAGTCAGTGGTGATAACAGGTCACGAATGGTGAGCCTGTGTTTCTAAACAGTGCCTTGTTACATCCATGCAGCTTCTGAGTACATTTTTGGCCCAGGAAACACATCAAATCACTACCTTTGAAAAACACCACAGACAAAGGGAAAAGAAGGTTGTATGTAAAGCCTGAGGCAGTTTGAAGCGGGGGGTGGGGAAATTGTGAGATTTTCTGGCTGTAAAATATCTTGGTGCTCCCTCACCCTATGGGAAGATGGAGACTTTTCTGCTGTGGAGGCTGGGCTATAAACAAAGCAGGGCAACATGTGGCTTTGTATATATAAGGCAAGGGTGGGGTATGGGGCATTCACAGTAACCTTCCTAACTGTAATGACTTTTAAAGACAGTCTCTAGCTCTCTAGTGTTTGGCAAATGCTTTGGGTAGAAAAAGCCAGGGCTCAGCTTGTGTTTCCAGATCATTTCATCCCAGGGTCTCACTGGAGAGTCCTCTCTTTGGGGCCCCAGGATGACTAGGTCTCCACACCTTGGCTCCCAGCCCAGCATGTAGGGAAGGAGACTGACCAGAAACAGCAGTGGTTTCCCTGGGACTGTTACTGGGGCTGTGTATCCTTTGTGCAGAAATTACCAGTGCACAGACTGGTGCAGTGGGAGCATAGCTCTGGCAGGGTGTGAGTGCTGCTGATGCCTGTCCCCCTGTGTCTGATCTGAAAAGGTAGAACTGAAGGTGGTGTGAAGGCTCCAGCACTGTCAGTGCAACAACTCGTGCTGGTGAAGGCAGCTTGCTGAGGCCTGTGGCTCTTCTGGATCTGGGACATGAAGCAAAGAGGTTGTTTCGTGAAAGAATTGCTTCTGAGAGTGGTGAATATGACTCCTCCCTGGGGAGGCCTGTGCAAGCAGAGGTTGTGTGTCTCACCTTTTCAGGCGCGTCTCCAATTAAATTAATGATAAATTGGTGCCCTGAGGTGGTTTCAGATTAAATGTCTCCAGCAAAGCCAAGCTTGGTTATGATTCAAGGGTTTTAAGATGGACCAGAGGAGGTCATACGAGAAGCTTATTGCCAGGTGCCTGGTTGATTTCCTGTCCCAGAGAGGGAAGGGGGAGAAGTTGTCTTTAATTTTATCTAATTCAATCACTGTGTTAAACTCCAGACAAGTTTCTGGGGCTAGAAAGAGAGCCACAGAGGAGGCTGTTGCCTCCTTACTGTATTGGGAATTGGCTGAGCAGACATGCAGGAAAGAGTTCTTTGTGGCTCTTCCCTGCTTTCAAGTGACCTACTCCTTCCCTGGGGAGAATCAAACTCTATTTTTACTTTTGTGGCAGAATTTGCACAGTTCAATGAACACAGTTCTGGGTTGTGATTTAGGACGTGTTGGTTCTTTTCCCAGCTGTCCTGCTGGCTGGCCTTATTGCCTTGAGTAACTCCTTTCAGCTAATTGGATGCACTGGGTTTTTTATTTGACTCTAAAATCAGAATTTGGAGATGCTAAGCATCCACTTCCCCTCTTGACTTTGCCCAGAGTTGTGCTGGGTAAAATCTTTGTGAAAAAAACCTCAGTCTATGCAATCTGAATCTGAGATGTTGGAGGCACTTGAATGAGAGGCCTTTTTGGAGTATTCTTGCCTGTTACTTCTCCCTCTTCCCTCTAGTGTCAAGACATGGATTGGAGTGAAGTGATAGCTGGTAACTTTAAAGTCTTCTGGCTGTTGATAAGTGAGCTTCTATTGCATTGCACAAACCAGAAAGAGCAAACATTACTTTTTTTTACGTATGTCCTTGTCTTTTTTGCCTGTACCTGCTTTCTTCAAGCCAGCCCTCTTTGACCAGTTAAACTCCAATTTACTTGCCCGGTGGGAGTGTTTAAACTGCAGTTTTGGTGCCATCTCCTGGCAAGAACTTAGGATTGCCAGAAAAGGAGCAGGACGTGGGACAGCTGGGTGGGAGCTGGACCCACGGCCTGCACCCGTGACGACTCATTGCTTGACTGTGTTATGCTGAGATTATTTTTGGCTTTCTCTAATGTCGCAAAAGATGAACCAGGACTGTGATTCTTGGCGTTCTTATTTTCCAGGGCTTTTCAACCTCCGAGGCTCTGATGTTGAGTACAATCCTGTGTTTTTTGCATACGCCGTCATAGGAATGAACACAATCAGGTGCTTGTATTCCCCTCTTCTGTCCCCCAAGATGCATTTTTCTGTGGGAAAACTGTTCTAGCAAAGCATTTGTCTTTTCAAAACGCCTACGCTCAGGCGCTTTAATGTCCTTACTGAGCACTTCTGTCTTCAACGTTAATTACTCTCCTCCTCTGATCAGAGCTAGAAAGGCAGCCAAGAGCTCTGCTGTGCTCCTCAGCACCTCGGCTGACTTGCTGGGTGACCTTGAACATGATGGCTGACCCCTCTGTCTGTCACCCTGAGATAACACAGAGGGCCCTTGGAGCCCTTAGTGAAATGTGGGTAAGAGCTAACGCTGACCGGGACATTGGACCTTTCTCTGACGTTGTTGATCAGCCACTTCAAAACTGCAGGGACTGTGTAGAAAAGTTTCAGGGCTGACTTTATGACAGAAAGCTGCTTTCCTGTGACTGCCCAGTATAATGAGCCTCAGCAAGCACAAATCTTTCTGGCAGCATCTCTGAGCTGCCAGCTAGATGCATCTGAGGTGAAACCTGGCTGAATGAGTACAGGTTGTACGTGAAGGTTGAGCTGAACTTTCCAATTCAGTGAAAGCGAGAGCAGTGTGGTACTTAGAATCACAGTAAATTTTCTATTTCCAGATGTTGCCCTCAAAAATTGGAGAATAGCTATTGTTTGCCTCTGTTACTGCCTCCTGCTTAATGGGATGCAGCCATTTTGGATGTGTTGTATAAACGACAATGCTGTCGGTTCCTTTCCTCTTGCAAGGTGGTACATCTTAATTTGAAAGCAAGATTTAAGCTGTGTGAAGGCCAGTGGTTAAAATACTATAGGACAAAGCATAGCACATAATTAACAAACTCCTTTCTCCCTGGAATGTGACCAGAATGATTTCTCCTTCCTTCCTTTACTCCAGCCCCTGTGAAATGTGGTCCCACCTATCTGCTCTGTCCAATTTGTTTCTCAGGCTCTTCATAGATGGTGACCGGATGATGGACCCAGCTGTGAGGGAGCACTTACAGCTCGATTCCACCCTGGAGCCTGAGTTTAAAATCCAGGTGATGCCCTATGGATCTATCCTGTCAGAGCTGCAGGCTGTTGGTGCAGGCCTCTCGCCCAAGGAGAAAGTATGGCTCAGTGACAAAGCCAGCTATGCACTGACTGAGGCAATTCCCAAGGTTAGTGGCCCTTGCAAGGGAAAATACTTTTCTCCTCTCTGCTCAGCGTGGTCAGGAATGGTGTTAATGAGGGCAGCTGGCCTCAGCTTCTCTTCCGCAGAGCATGGTGCAGGCTGAAGCTTGTGCGGAAGGGATCCAGCCATGCTGAGGTATCGAGGGGTTGCTAATCCTGGGGTTGCTCTCGCTGGAGCTGCCCTTCCAACTCGCTAAGCCGATTTACCCAAAGAATTGTCAGCTTAAGATAAGACAAGTACGGTGAGCGAGGGGAGGGAGAGAGGGAGCAGGGTGAACTCGGGTCATTCTGCCCATGGCTGGGGCATCAGCCTTATGTGGACTGGCAGTAAGAGCTGGAAACTTGCAGAAACTGAAGCAGGAAAGTAGAGCAGAATTTTTGGGAGGGGGCATTGGGATTGATCTGAGTATCTGAAGATGGCTCCCCTTATTTATTTCAGTGACTTGAGGATGTCAGGCAATATGTGACATCTTGTTCTGAAGACAGGAGGGAGAGGGCGACAGGGTTGTTGCAGCAGGGAACCTTGTGAGGACACGGATAACCTGCAGGCATTGCTTGTCCATGCAGCGAGTGCATCTGCTCAGGGACAGTTGTAGCATCAGAATAATTTCTGTACAGCGGTACTTGCTCTATCTTACCCTTGTACCTTGAACTTGGTTGTGTGGGAGTCTTGCAGTCCCCCTAGTATCCCGCCGGTCACAAACAGGGGTACTTGGGAAAGGACACGGCAGCAACAATGACCAAATAAGCTGTTTTTCATGCATCTTGTGTATATTTCTTGTTTGCTTGGGATCACATTCTCTGGAATGCCATCTGGTTTGTGGACATATCTTGTACCTAAGAGATACTGTGAGTAAATATGGCTGTGAGTCAGGGACCAGTGGGAATTTTCCAGATGTTGCCTTGGCAGACCCGCTGAACAGAACCTGTGCTTGTGCTGGGTTACTAAACAGTCCAGGCTCCTTCCCTGAGAATTGCAGGGCTCAGGTGAAGGGCTCGCTGTAGGAAGAACTAAATTGTAAAATATGTTTGCCCACAAGTCAGTTTTCACGCACCACGAGGTTTCTGCCTGCACCAGACAGGCAGATACCTCCTGCCTGGTTCATGCACTGTGTGGTTTTGCTGTGCAGGTGTGCATATGATACAGCTGTTCCCATGGCAGTGGAGCCATGTGTACAGGAATTTTAAGAGTCATTTTAGCTTTGTATCTTCTGGAACCCAAGAGCAGGGTTTGTTTTTGTCTCCCCAGACTGCCACAGTTTGATACCAGAACAAATCTCTGCTTAAACTCTCCAGCTCTCATATCCAAAATAGCCTTGTATTATTTTTTTCTGGTGATGACATTCACTTAACTTCATTGCACTTGGTGCATCAGGACAGATGAGAAAACCAAACAGGTCTGGAAAGTGTGTTTCTTTAAGATGGGATGTGACTGGCTATGTCTTTGTACTGACACTGAAATGTGCAGTGTGCTTTATGTTGTTGTTTTTGTTCTTTTTGTTCTTTTAAAAAACTTCAAAACAACAAACAATAAAAAACCTAACAGACACATATATGAGCAAGAAAGACTTTTTTTTTTTTGCCCTTGCTCCGGGTTAAATCTTCTGACACATGAATCCATTTCTAGGTGCAAATGACCTCTTAATACAGAATACTGACATTTTGCCCACTCTTTCATTCAGAGTAGCAGAAAGCTTAGAGTCTGTGGAGCATTCAGGATAAATTGTTGTTGCTCTTTTAACTTCAGTGTAGAATTCCTCTTATTGTAGTTGAAGTCTAACCCCCTTTTGGGTAAGTTGCTGTAGCTGATTTATGCAGAGCAGCCATATGGAGAAGTACAGCAGGTCTGGCCTAGATTAAGCAATGTAATGAGTTGTAGTGACATTATTTACCCTGTTAGCATTGGAAGTTTTGACTGATACTAAGTCATTCCAGTGCTACCTGCCCTCTGTATGCAACGGGAGAGTCCCTGCCTCAAGGAGCTCTGTGCAATAAAAAGCAGGAGAGGAAGGACTGAAATGTCTTGATTAAAAGCCACTCTGAGAATCGGAGGAAAAGCCAAAGGTTTCCCAGTTCCTCATGCTGGGGGCATTTTTCTCCAGCTCTACACCATTTTACACCAGCTGAGCAGCTATCCTGGGATACTTTGAAGAGCCCCAGTGCTGGAAGTCTGGCTATTGTCTGTATATATCAAAGCCAAATATTGACACTGGCAAAAAATACAGTCCATTATTAAATGCAGATCTTCAAAACCTTTATAGATTTGTCTACAGCTGCATGTAAATATGCTATTTATGGAAGATTAATAGAACCTACGAGTATTTGTAGAGGGCAAGCCTATCTAGAATGTGACCGTTCAAAAGTTTTGTCCTGACTCTGATAAAACGACTTTCCTGACTTTCTTGTGGCTTCATCAGTATTTTAGTTTCTGCATAGTGCAGTGTAACTATCATGTTACTTTTAAGAATTTGGAAACTGTAAGCCTGTGGGATTTGTGTGAAATTGGTCTTTGCTGAGGGTTGACCAGACCTTTCTCAGTAATGTGAGTGGAGGCTGTTTGTGTGCTGGTTCGCTGAGAACAGGAAAACAGCATGTTGCTTGGGCTGTGCTTTTGTAGGTGCTTTTCTCATCTCCTGATATATAATGGGTAGAGCAGGGAACTGTGGAGCAAAAGTCTTTGTTTGTGTTCCTTTTACTGATACCCAGTGTGATGAGGCTTGGGCAAGTCACCTTGGTGACTTTCTGAAGGTGTGCTCCGGACCTGCTAATCTAAGGACAGCTAATGTTTTGGGGAAGTGTGCAGTGGTAAGGGGTCGGTTACAGGCTCTTAATGCAGGACCATTCCTTCAAGGCACAGGAAAGCTTTGTCAACCTCCTTTCAGAGGCAGACAGCATGTAAAACTCAGCTTTGCAAAGGCCTTGCCTGTTACTTGGGGCCTTGATGTGTTTGTCAGAGCTGCTGATCATTGGCAGTGGTGACGCTTAGTGCTGGAGGAGCCAGGACCTTGAGGGGCCCACCGGGTTCAGCTCTAGTGCTCGGTACCTGGACTGAGTACCCTTTGTTCCCTGCCGCTTCAGAGTGACAGTCAGGTGACAAGTCAAGGTGACATTTTAGATCTGTTTGCACAGCCTAAGTTCCACCTTACCCTTGGGGTTGGTGTTTCTTGTTGGCTGTCTCTGGGCCTTTAGTGTACATCAGCAAGAGGAAACCCATGTCTCAGGCATTGATATATGTGATATTTAGGATATGCAGATTTTCACCCCACTTCATGACACGTTGTTGACTATTTAGCCTCTTGGATTTCCCTGTGGCTATTCCTCCTTCAGTCAGGGGCCGTGTCTCCTCTTTATTCCCAGTGCACTTAGCTGACAACTGGCAACCAGTATCTCACAGCGCTGAAGGTTGAGAGAGACTGCCAAAGTACAAATTGTGGCCAGGCTGAGTTATTAAACCTGTAGGATTATGTAGTCTGACTAATCCACAAGTAATCCCTGTCCTTCTGCTGCAGGTTTACCGATACCTCACCCCGTATACCCCCATCTGCATTGCAAAAGCTGTGAAGAATGCGTCGGAAACAGAAGGCATGAGAAGAGCACATGTAAGTGAAGCCTTGAGAGCCTCCTTGCTCATGGCAAGAGGTTTGCTTTTATGTT